ACATTAAAGGCAACTGGGTTTCTTTGCTGAGTTTGAGTCATATAAAAGTAGATTGTCCAATTAAATATTTTAGGGGAACTATACTAACACAGCTACACTAGAGGTTTTAGTAATTCAAATCATAAACCCAGGCTAAAAGGGAAAAAGCCACTTTAAAAATAAAACATTCTAAAAATTGATGAAGTCTGATAAATAAAATTACAAAAGAATAGCATAACATACTACTAAAATGACTTCAATAATGCTAAGCTCTTCAAGTTGAAAACTTAAAACAGAAGAGTAAAATTTTATCTAGAATTCCCATCTTTAGTATCAATTGAATTTTTGTTCTCTGAGATTTATGAACTCATTCTAAATCTAATCCATTTAAAAACACAGCAATACTTTTTATGGCATGCAGAAATGTAATTGTTAAGAGTTTTGGTAGAGAATATATGATGTAATGTATAGTGTTTTTTTATAGAACTATCTGTATTAGAGTCATTGTATACCTCCATTTATATATGGAAAAGAGGCAATTTGCAACTATGAGATTTTGAAAACACCCATGTTTGTCAATATAAACAACTTACAAGGTGAAAATGTAGGAATTTAGCATAGTCCTTTCCCAATTACATCATTATAAATTAACTGTCCAGTAACTGGATTTTGAGCAGGTGGAAAAAAATAGTTAAAATTTTTGAAATCTGAGAAGTAATCAATGTCTTCCTGATTTTAACACTTCACAGGATAAAAGAGAAAGAAAAAGAAAAAATTATTATGACTTTATAAACTTTAAAAATGCATGTGGAAGGCAATTGAATTATGGATGATTGAATATATTTTGAATTTCTAATTAATCTTTTAATTTTATCAGTCATAACATGCTGGTTTTCTGAACATTGTCTTTTAAAATGTTGTAATTTTTATATATCATTGCTTAAGGCAGAGTTATATTTAGGGTTTAGTATAGTTACATTTACTATGAGGTACTTCAATTGAAGAAAACCACCAATTTCTGAAAGAAATCATAAATCTAAATTTAAAAAGAAATGGAAACCAGGAAGCAAATATGTTGTGTACTGCTTCACACTTCAGAGGTAATGTTTAAGCATTCTTTTAACATATGTAGAAATGTAACAAATTTTATCATAAAAGCACCAATTAGTATTATGTAAAAACAGTAACATTTCAATAACCTGTAATAGTATATGGAATCAGTAGATTGCTTGCATTAGTATCCAGCATAATAGTAGATTTGTTCATGAAATTTTATAATGCATAATTTCTTGGAAAACACAGATATAAAATGGAGTACATCATAAATCACATAAATCACCCTTGACTACTTAGCATATATGAATATATCATCAAAATTCTTAATTTCAAAATAACTAAAGGACATATCAGTATTTCTTGTGAAAATATAGTAGAAATAATATTTCTATATACAAAGTTTCAGAGAAAAATTCCAGTTAAAACTTATTCATCCACACTTAAATTCATGTATTATGATTATATTACTAAAGTGTATGTATCAAATAAAATGCAAAATATACTTTTAATGAGTTTAATTTTAAATATTTTGATACTCATATCAAATTACAGGTGTACAGAAGAATGACATCTTTTAAAAGAATCATCATAAAGATTGAAATAAGATTTTATGTTAAACTTTTGGAATGTTTGATATGTTTAATCCCTCTTAAAATAGTTTTGTGTGTGTGTGTGTGAGTTTTATCTCAGTTTTTACTATTGAATCTCATTTCTTTTAAGTGAAGGAAACAATAGGTATACATACTTAAAAAGTTTAAAGAACTTAATGTATTTAAAATAATTTTGGTCAAGTATCCTCCACAAGATAATTAGCTTACATTTTCATATAATCAGTCTCTTTGTAATGGGCTATTTGATATTAAAACTTTGCATAGTATGTTGACATTGATATAATATTTTCCTCAGGACATTTAATATATTGTAGATATAGCATAAATACTATGTCATCAATAGTTTAAAATGACTTATACAGTTTTTTATAATTGTTGTAACTTTTACCATTCATCTTTAATATAATTACTGAAAAGACATCTTTTGCCATTGAATTTTATAGACACAAACACTGAAGTGGCTATTATAGGAACTATGAGGATTTTTTTTTCTCTCTTATTATATTAAAAAAAAACAAACCTCAGTGGCCTACAGAATAAAACACCAGTATTCTACCTTATTACAAATATTCTAATAAATGAGATTTTTTAAAGTATGGAATAATTAACACATATTTAGAAATACAGAGAAAATTTTAAAGTCACATTTAATTCTGAAAGGCAACAAATCCTCCCGTTCACTTCTTTTTTCTGTGTATCACTTTTTCCCCATCCAAATAACATTTTGTTTATTTTATACTTTCTATTAGAAATCTGGACTTCATAATTTTTATTGATATTAAATATCTTGTGTCTTCAATTAAAAAGTCTTTCTTACTAGCTTTATTTTAATTGCATGACTTTGGAAGTGATTTTTTTTTTCTAACTCTTTTCTCTTTCATTTTTTTCCTTCCCATATTGCTGGTCTCACAGAAGTTGATGGACTGAGGTAGGTTGTGGAGAAATTTCTAGACACATTGTTAACATCTGATGCAGTAAATGAAAAAAAAAAAAAAAAAAGCTAGTCCATTCCCTGGGTTGATTCAAGAAGTGACAGCTCCTGGAGATTAAAGCTTTTGTTTGCTTGTTGCTAGTTACCTACAACTCACTGGTTAATTCAAATTCATTAATTTATTAATTAACTTCTTTTAAACACATGTAATGCAAATTTAAAGAACCATTATGAATGTTTTTTTACTGATGTCTGCAGATGAAGTCTATTTTTAGTTAATCTTGTCTAACACTTTCTGCCTTGCCTCTAGCTGACAGCATTGTACTATGTAAATATTTCTGGTTATGTATATTGAGGTGGTTGCCTAAATTTTAGTTTGAATAAAAACTTAAAGTTTTTACCCCGAAGCCATAGAGTAGCTACAGGAGTTAGGGAAGTTTAGTGTTACTCTTTGTACTTCAACTTTTAATATCAGAACACATATTGAAACCATAAACACAATGAAAATCCAAAACCTATTCCTACGATATTGGAGGAATACCCTCCCCCTTTATTTTTAAAGAGCCAAGGGCGTGGGGAGTGGCAGGAATAAATATTTTTAAGATGTAAGTTCTGAACGCCATCCTTCAGTGTTAAACCCCTAAAATTTGCAAAGTAAAGAACAACCCCCACACCCCCTTTCAAAATCTAAAGCAATATTAGATTCCCCAAATATCAGCAAAAAGTCTTACCGTCAAAAAGCTTGCTGCAGGTCCCAGCTCAGACCCAGACTGAGGAGTTGAGCAGCTGGTGAGCAAAAGTTTTAGTTCTTTCTTTTTTTTTTAAACGAAGTCTGCAAAACTAATTTCCCTCAAAATAGGGCTCAATTTCCGTTAAAGAAAGCAGCACTTACAAATCTCAGAATTCCTGATCAACCCCACTCCACCCCACCTCTAAGAAATGGGAAACAATTCTATCTTTTACGTGGATGTGAAGGTTTATTTCGAAGCCACTATTCTGGAGCACTCCTTAAACTTTTGAAAAGGGAGTCAGGCTGAAGCTGGAGGGGCTGGGCAAGGGGAAAGTTTCTGCCTTAGGGACACCCTTCCAAGATTAATCAATACTTTTTTCTAATTCAGACCAGATGTCTAGCCCAGTTTGCTGTGCCCATTAATCCCATTACCAACTTCAAAGACCCGGTCACCATCCTCTGGACACCTGAGACAATGAAAATAACGGGGCAACACTGCTGGTGGCACATTCAGGGTCCAAGCAGGATAGGTGACTGCAGATATTCTCCTGATGTGACACTTCCCAACAGAACCTGGCTGTTCCTGCGTCTCATTAGGTGCTGCTGCTTTTTGTGTGTAAAGGATTCTGCCCCCAGCAGACCGCAAGCAAGTGGCTATAAGAAGCCCCAGTCCCCGCTTTCACAAATTCACTGGTGGCAAATTTTCTAACTCCCTTTTTCAGGGATGCAAATTTTAACCAGGGCGACCTGAAGAGCTAGCAAATTCTGGTGGGTATTGAAGTGTAATCTTTCTCAGTAAATGGAACAGTGGTGGTGGGAAGGAGTGCGATTAGTTATTTTATTTTATTTTATTTTTTTTAAGGAAGAGAAGGTGAACTACTGGAAAGAAATGAGGTGTTACTGAAGAAAGTGAGGTTTGAAATATGCGTGCGATCTACATTTCTCATGTGACAGGGATGAAATTGCTTTGAAATAATTTTGAGCCGGGAAAATTTGGTAGACAAGTGGCTAGGAAACTGAGAGAGATCAGAAAAGTGGAGTAAGGTCTGTAAGGTCCAGGAAAGGGGACACCCCTTAGCATCGCACGTGAGGATGCGGGGCATTGATGTCCACAACTTTCTTTGCCCTTACGCTTTCCCGCCAGTTTCCTCTCCTTTCCGTTTAGAGAACTTCCCTTTGCCATCCGTTCGTACATAACTTTGACTTGGAGTCCCAGCTCTTTAACAACCCATCTATAGACACTAGCGTTGAAAAGATAGGTGCGTCTCTGAGCTCAGAGAAGAGGGAGATACAAAGTTTGAAAAACTTCAGAGCGTGCGCCAAACCAGCTCTGTTCACGTCTTCCGTGCTCCTCAAGAGCTAGGCGCACGCTTAGCTTTCCTGCAGGTGACAGTTCATAAGCAGCACTAACAAATCGCATTTTCTGGGACAAGTGAATGGGTAGCAAACTAGGTGCATGGTTGGAGAGGGGGCCGCCTGAGCCTGAGGCGCGGGGCCGCTGCCAGCTCCGGCGGGATTTAGGCGCCCGCGCGGCGTGTAGTCCTGGACGCTGACTGGGTTGGGCCGGCGTGGACGTGCGGCGTCTGTCCAGCAAGCTATGCGAAGTGGAAGTGAGAGCGCGTGGTGGCGCAGACTGAGCAGGAGTTTTGGAGGGAGTTTGCATGTGGTCAGCGCTGGGCTCCTAAGCCAGCCCCCAGCTCACATTACACTCTATTTATAACCTCTCAGAGTCATTTCCCGCTGAATGCAGTTCTCTGGGACCACCTTCTTTTGGCTTCAACTGCTCCCACTCTTGACATCTGAGCTGCTCAGAGGGAAGCTTCTCCAGGTCCGAGTGTTTATATGTAAAGGAGACTGGCCGCTAGGGCTCAGGACCGGGATTATCCAAGCTCTGCAGAAAAGCGAGAGGCTATTACTTTTGAAGGGGGAAAAAGTCACACGATTTCCAGTGAAAAGTGACAGAGGGTGGTGGTGTTTGGAACCATCCTGAAGTCTTCTGCCTGGATTCCAAAACTTGCATGCTATGGAACACCCGCTCTTTGGCTGCTTGCGCAGCCCGCACGCCACAGCGCAGGGCTTGCACGCATTCTCTCAGTCCTCTCTTGCCCTCCATGGAAGATCTGACCATATGTCCTACCCCGAACTTTCTACTTCTTCCTCGTCTTGCATAATCGCAGGATACCCCAACGAGGAGGGAATGTTTGCTAGCCAGCATCACAGGGGGCACCACCACCACCACCACCATCACCACCACCACCATCAGCAGCAGCAGCATCAGGCTCTGCAAACCAACTGGCACCTCCCGCAGATGTCCTCCCCACCGAGTGCGGCTCGGCACAGCCTCTGCCTCCAGCCTGATTCCGGAGGGCCGCCGGAGCTGGGGAGCAGCCCGCCGGTCTTGTGTTCCAACTCTTCCAGCTTGGGCTCCAGCACTCCTACCGGGGCCGCGTGTGCTCCTGGGGACTACGGCCGCCAAGCATTGTCACCCGCGGAGGCGGAAAAGAGAAGTGGCGGCAAGAGGAAAAGCGACAGTTCAGGTAAGAGCGTGCAGAGCACCCTTCTAGAGAGTGCATGCCATTTGGAAAGGGGGCGGGGAGATGCCAGGAAAGATTCTCGCACTACTGTGAGAGGACTGGGAAGATGAGAAAAGTCTTGCCCTCTGGCTCCCGGTGGCTAAATCCGGCGGTGCAGCTTTGGTTCGGTTATTTGGAGGCACGTGTTTTCCTGAGGGTAACACATACATGGCCAGCAGCACTAAGCTTTCCAAGATCCCAAACTAGTTTACCAGAAGGTTGTGTAAAAAGGGCTAGCGACAGTATGTGAAATCGATTGCGAAGCATGACAGTCCATCAGACACACACGCCTGGAGGGGTGTGTGCCCTGGGATGCGGCGTCTGTTGGGCTGGCGTGCGTGCGGGGTGCTGCTCCTTGACTTTTTGCTTACACATTCCCGACTCCGAGTGGCTTGATTTTTCCCATCGTTAACTGGATTTCCAAATTATTGCACAATGTTTGGAACTTGTAGTGGAACTTGGCAGAGTGCATGAGAAAAAAAAGTTTTAGTATTTTTTTTTTCAATATTCTGATTTTAGAGTTCTTTAAATAGCAACCTCTTCCAAATGGTAAAATATTCCTTTTCGCGGAGGAAAGAAGACATTATCTAGGAATTTAGTGTTCAAGGAATGCTTCAGAGAATTGTTAATAAATAGATGCTTAGGGTGGTCTTGAGGAAAGACCATTCTTAATCACAGTTCATGTTTGTGTGGTGTTAATCTTCTAAAAAAAAAAGAATCCGAGTTTCAAAAGTAGAAAATAAAATCCTCTCTCAATTGGACGATATCTGGACAAGTACCGAGAAGCAAACAGCAACTTGGGTAGTGCTGGTTCACTTCTGGCTTAAAGGTGATATGCTAGCGTGTGCGCCAGAGCACTGATCTATAAGCGAATAAATTGAGCAGACTCCTCAGAACCTCCTTGAACTCTGGTGTCTGAAGGTGCTGTTTTACCGAGTAGATTTTAAGGATCCTGAGGAACTGAAAGTTTTCCAGACAACTCTTCTAAGCCCTTAGCTATCTCTATCATACAACTGTTAAAAGATAGTTTATAAGGGAAGAAGTAGTGAGTTTTCTGCCGTGGCTATAGAGCAACCTGAATTCCATCTTTTTGGAAGGTGTCATTTTACAATGCTTGATTTTTTTTTTTTTTTGAGCAATTGTGTCACTAGTCCTAAAAGATAATCTCAGGTATTAGTTTGAAAAATTGAAAAATGTTTATTCTCTATAAAACTTTAGCTAAGATGCTTTATGAGTAACAATAACTGAGCTATTTCATATTACATTGTAGCGATGGCATCAATTGTTCTTTAGTGTTCGATTGGAATGGATGCTTCTGTCAAGGTCTCAAAATCTAACTTCTATTTTCAAAGGTCAGGGGTGAACTTTTAATGCTCCCTCACAAATTAGTTTATATCTAACAAAGTTACCAGCTTTATCACTCACTTTTATGGATTTTACTAACTATAAATGTAATTCTCTTAAGACAATGAGTTGAAAGGCTAATCATAGGATAAATGTTTCCATTATCATTAGAAAAAAGTAAATTTTAGAATGCAGTGAGCATTTCACAGACTGGGCATTGAAGATGAGTCATTTGGGTACACATATCTCAGTGCAGGTTAGTCAGAGTACTTTTAAAATTACTGGAAAGTCTTACTGTTCATTTTACTTTCTGCAATGAGGAACCTATGTGATGGATTGTTCCTTATGCTTTCTGAACTGAATCAATGCCCTTAAGTTTCTTAGGGCAAAAATAATTTTCATACAAGCGTGTTACTTCTGGTTGGGGGAAACAGAGAAAGTGGGATTCCAGAACTTACGCCCTTAAATTATTTTAATAAAAATTTTCATTTAAAAATAGTTAATTACCATCCCCCTTCATCATTGGAAAATAAAACAATAACAAAATAAACCTTAGTTTTATAATTGAAGTGGATAAGTAGGGTACTGGAAAAACAAACAAAAATAAAAATTTGTATCAGCTGCATAACAAGACAAAATCACTGAGGACTTAGAATGAGTTTTTTCTTTGAAGGATATTTTGAAAGAATGTTTGACTAACAAAAAGCAAGTACCACAAAAGTTTCTGGTTAAATCTATGTACTGTAAACTTGTTGAAAATAAAATTCAACTTGCCAATTTCAATGTCTGAGTTAATATTTATCAGAACACTAGATAAGTTTGAATTTAAAATATTTTTCTCCTGCAATGATATTGCATCTGGTAATTCACAATTTATGTTCAAATTATTTTATTTATAGTACTATAAGGATCTTGATCTAATAGAAACTAAAGCAACATAAAAGATTATTATGATTCTGGTACATTAGCATATATCTCATTACTTATAGCATGGTTTTAATATTTCAGTAGTTCTAAAAATTAAATTAATTTTGAAACTTTGCAATTTAAAATTGTATTAGATGAAAATTAAAACATACATAGTAGAGGTCATTTGATTTTGTCAGGCAATTTATAATTACTGGTACTTGTAGTTGAGAGTTAGTGCTATACGTAAATCTAAGGTAAAGTTGGAACCAGAATTCTGAATACCTGTATCTAATACCCAGACTACATGTGTATTTATTCATTACTTTAAGTTCTAATAGAATTTTTAGTGCCAGAAAATATTGATGAATGACTGAAATATTTATAAACCTACATTTTTATCCTTACTACTAGTGCTAAACTTAAAATTTATAACATTTTTCAGTATGTATTTATACGCATTTTCCTTCCACAAACACACATGAACAAACTCAAACACATATACAAACTTAAAATGCTTAGTGGTTTAGAAGCAAGCATTTATAGACTTTGGTCTTCCATTATAGTTTATTGACAATTGAAAATAACCAAGTTTAATAGGAAAGTACACCATTAGTTTTTATAAGTGTTAAACATTTTTGTAACTTTTAGCCTGCTATGCTTTCCAGTATTATTAGTAAAGCCAACATCTGCGACATCTTCAAAGGGACTCTTAAAAAACAAAACTTTACAACTATACTTAAAACAATCAGTACAAAGCAGGTGATTCTGAAAAATGTCTATAAACAGTGTGAATTACTTGGCTTCAATTACATTAGATTGTTCTCTAAGCAATGCAGTGGTAGGTATAAATTGCCCACTTTCATTTAAAATAACCAAAATTAACTAAAGTAACTTTAGCTTTCAGGTAGGCAATATACAACATAAATATGTAAATATTTTCTATTTGAATTATTTTTTTAAAAAGTAAGCATATATTTTATTTAAAAAAAATCAAACATATCCAAAAAATAGGGGAGGATAGGCAAGCAATTATTTGGAGAGGTGTATTTTACTAGGTTTTGAATCATAATTATATTCTTATAAAATGGCAAATATTTTATTTATAGTCGCTAGATCATGAACCATTTGTTTTCCATGTATGTGTACATGCTTGTATACCAAATGACAAGCAAATATTATATTTAATATTCTGGAAGTTAAACCCAGAGTAATGTCTTACTCAAACTATTTCAGGTATTGTAGTGTAAATTTTCCTAGCTATTTCAGTTATCATGGTTTTTTTGAGGGAAAAAAATGTAACTTTTTTATTCATGTCTGTGTTACTATATTATGGCTTTTCCTTATTTGTATTAAAATAAAAACTAGTTTGCTGGATCTTGAAAACTACAGGAGAATATTGACAATATAAATGACATAAAGGTATGGAATATAGAATAACATTTTATTATTTTTTATGGATGTTAGCTTAATTTTAGGTGTGAACATTCTAAAGTTGTGACCTGATATTAATAGTAATTATACTAATAATAGTAATTGCTATAATTATTGTTGTTGTTATTATTATTATTCTAGGTATCATTGACCTAACATGAGTGTTCATAGATGACTACACTCAAAAGTCAAGAGCAGAAATTCATTTAGAATGAAGTGGTTCAAGGTTGAATGTAAGCAATGAATGGAAGGAAGAAAGCAAATATACACAGGACTAACAGGACTAGCTCCCAGTTCTTCGTAAACCTCTTTATAGTTTATTTGAAAAGGAAAACCATTAAAGTAAGGCAAGGTAATACACAAGCTTTCACTCAGATTAGAAACCCAACAGTAACTATTTAAAATGTTAACTGTTGTTTTATAGTAATTATCAGTTGAAACCATTATGTTGGCCCCTTGTAAGCTGATTCCTACTAAGGAACTGAAAAAAAAAAAAAAAGAAGAAGAAGAACATTTTAATCATTTCTGCATTTTTCCTTCTGTGTTTGAAAACAGATACTTCATCCTAGTGCTGGAATGTAATGTTATAATGTTTATTATAAGACCTGATCACTTGAAGAAATTGATTTTAAATAAAAATGAAACAGCAGAAAGGATCTATTCTCTCTCTAGAATTGGGGAAATTTGGGACACTAATTCCATATCCAATGGAAGATTTAATCTTTTTCATTGAAAAATGTCAACCTATGAATGAATTAACAGTTGATTTATGTAAAGTAAAATTCCTATTTATGATTCTATTACATGTACTTGACATGGTAATTTGCTTTGTGTGGATGATTTTATTCATTTATTATGTTTAAAGGGGCAGCTTGAAACATAAAACAAAGTTAGGTGTACTATTTAGATTTTCATTTCAAGTGAGAAAAACAATATAATACAGTAACAGATTTTAGTTTTAGAATGTATTTGCTTCATTGATTTATATCTAAAATTTTGGAACATACCTTTTTTTCAAGCATTGCTATAAGAATTGTAATTATCTATGATAAATCAATGATAAGGATGGAAAACAATAGAAAATAAATTACATTAGAATTTGTTAATAGTTATAGATGTTTTATCACTCCCAAATTTCTGGGTCTTAAATTTTCAATTTCCTTCAAACTTTTCAATTAGCTTTTTTTATACTAATAACACATCTGTGAGTGAAGTTATCATGTGAAGTAAGACTATCAACAATAGCATTTTTCTCCCTGAATTATAATCATAAAATAAGA